GTCAATAGAATTAAATATATTGACAACAATTATTGTTTATATACTAATCTCAATGGAAACCGTTAATAAAATTTGAAACTCTAACAGGTTAAAGCTTGAAATGAGAATATCTCGAAAACGGTGTACTTAGAATTGAAATATGTTTGATAATAAGGTGTGCAGGTTCTCTCGGAGATGTACCCTATACAGCATCCAGCGATGGGTGCGGAAAAGTATGTTTTAGAAGATAAAACGGTCGATTTATTGTTACATGCCAATTCCACGAGAGAATTTCGAAATGAATGAAGTGAACATTCTTTTTCAGTTGTGTTTATAATCTGGAAACCTATCCACCCACTGGGTTGACAGTAAATTTGCTTTTATACGGGAAACATGGGCAAACAGTTATAATTTTGATTAGTGGAAAATAGATAATCTACGCCCGCATAATTAAAAAAAATTCTTTCTGTGACACACTTAAATCAACGGGTTATGGGTTTTTATGAAAATTACAAATGTATATAATGGCAACCGATTTGATTAGGAAATGTTTTACGTTATACAGGATAAAATTTGAGGCTGGCAACTAATGATACGTTTTTCCATGAGACGCGACGCGTGTATCACGCGTAATAAAGCACTGCGGGATTATACTATTACACAAGCAGGCAGGTTTCATATATTGATTCATGAAGGCAAGTGTTAGATTCCAAGCTGTTTCTATAGATTAGGGAAGTTAAACCGCAAAAATGTCGTAAATCCAATAAGGCAATCTAAACATGATGAATGTATTTCAGAGATAAAGTATTTTGCTGTAGCGAAAAATACTCTAAAAACGTATTGAAATTGCAATAGATATAAGAGACCGACTCATTTAAAAAGATTGATGAGTTGCAAACCATTTTTCTGTTTCTCTATTTTCTTATTCACAAAAGCACGAGCATGTATATACCCCATTCGTATTTTTCAAGTGCAGGGTTTTAAAATTTGAAAGCTTTCAGCAGTAATTTCATTGAAAATCGAACCAGTCGCCAGTATATACATTACCTAACGTTGCTTTTACGAATGTAATCAATTAGTCTATGTTTAATTAATTAAGTTCCTACTAACATTCAGTTTCAGTACATAATCAACCTACCACTAAATTAGTTTTCATGTGAAACTTTTACAATTAATGAATTGGGACAATCGGGATATGAGGTCAAAAAGGAAAATTGCTCTCCAATTTTGTTCAAGTATTTACTCATGCTTATACCAGCGTATCTATAGTTCCTTGCTGCCTTATTAGTAACAGTATGGACTAATTTTTAGTGTATGGCAACAGACATAAAATGAATTTAGCATCCATTTCTATAGGTACTCACCTTACATGTGTATGTATAACATCGCTTTCTTTTTAATTATACGTTTCGTTAGAGTTTGCTTGTGGGAACGTTCTCCATTATTAAAGGAGAACTACTACCAAATGGCATACGCCGAGAACATCGTTTTTGCATGAATGAAATACGAAACTGTGCTCATTTATACAGTTGATATGACCAGAGGTATACCTATATTACAAGGTTATCATAAAGTAAAGTAAGTCAGATTATTATGTATTTAAAAAAAAAGTAAAAGTTAAAAACAGAATGTGAAATGAAATAGATTTCTTAAATACCTAATGGAAATTCTTATGTTCACCAGTGGTTAACGTAAATTTTCGATATGTCCGGAAATTGATAAATTGAGTAATTCTAAGCAACTTTTGTTCTATAGAGTTTTTTCACTAAGTCAATAGTATTCGAGTTAATTGCGAGTGAAAATGTTCATTTTTCAACAAAAAAAACTACGTTTTCAGACGGTTTTTCGCAAATAACTCTAAAAGTAAGTATTGTATCGAAAAAAGTATTCTTAGCAAGAATATAGCTTATAAACAGACAAACAAAATGGTCTATATATGAAGTCTGTAGACCCAGTAGAAGCAAAGTTGTAGCTCATGAAAAGTAGGTTCTCATTCGTCAAATTCCAAATCGAGTACTTCAACATGAAATAACTAAAAAATGAAGCACTTTTCGGGGAAAAGTTATGAATACTTTTTTAAAGTGTTTGAAAAAACCTTTCTTTTTGTTTTTAAGAAAAGTTCCTAGCATCAAAACTAAGTGAGTTACGCTCAAAATAAAGTTGGTCCTTTTTTTTTGGTAAACATAATTGAGGAAATCACCCCCTAATTAGCACCCCAATTGTAATTAAGCGTTACCGCTTTACAGTTTACTTTATTTATGTATTGTTTATATGATCTGTAAGTTTCACCGGTACAAAGTGCTTATTTTTGAAAAAATGTAGTTTTGAAGTAACAAAAAATTTTGAAATTTTGAAAAGTCTTTTTTTTCCAAATAACTATTAGTGTATTAGTTTAGTTTACTACAGTGGGCAATTTTTCACTAACTAAACTAATACACTAATAGTTATTTGGAAAAAAAATGACAATTTTTCAAAATTTCAAAATTTTTTGTTACTTCAAAACTACATTTTTTCAAAAATAAGCACTTTGTACCGGTGAAACTTACAGATCATATAAACAATACATAAATAAAGTAAACTGTAAAGCGGTAACGCTTAATTACAATTGGGGTGCTAATTATGGGGTGATTTCCTCAATTATGTTTACCAAAAAAAAAAAGGACCAACTTTATTTTGAGCGTAACTCACTTAGTTTTGATGCTAGGAACTTTTCTTAAAAACAAAAAGAAAGGTTTTTTCAAACACTTTAAAAAAGTATTCATAACTTTTCCCCGAAAAGTGCTTCATTTTTTAGTTATTTCATGTTGAAGTACTCGATTTGGAATTTGACGAATGAGAACCTACTTTTCATGAGCTACAACTTTGCTTCTACTGGGTCTACAGACTTCATATATAGACCATTTTGTTTGTCTGTTTATAAGCTATATTCTTGCTAAGAATACTTTTTTCGATACAATACTTACTTTTAGAGTTATTTGCGAAAAACCGTCTGAAAACGTAGTTTTTTTGTTGAAAAATGAACATTTTCACTCGCAATTAACTCGAATACTATTGACTTAGTGAAAAAACTCTATAGAACAAAAGTTGCTTAGAATTACTCAATTTATCAATTTCCGGACTTATTTTGAACGTATCTTTTTTCCCCCCCGAGAAGGGGTGGCATTCACCCCCCAAGTAAAAGCAACCCTGGGCTCAAGTTCAACTTTGAAGTAGAGGGTAAGAGGAACCTAAATCCAAATTTTCATGCGATTCGGTGGAGACGCGGAAAATTACACAGTATCGCCGTATTCCACGTTCATTTACTGGCCTATTAA